TACATGCTAATATTGATTAGCTAAGTGCTAAATCATGTCAAGAAAATGCTACAAACTTCATAGTAACCATCTGTGACAACTACCAACCTCCTAGCAACAACCTAGCAACTACCCAGAACACGCTAGCAACACCTTAGCAACCACCCAGAATACCCTAGCAACCGCCTAACAACACCATAGCAACCACCCAGAACACCCTAGCAACCACCAAGAACACCCTAGCAACCACCCAGAATACCCTAGCAACCGCCCATCAACACCATAGCAACCACCCATAACACCCTAGCAACCACCCAGAACACCCTAGCAACCACCTAGCAACACCATAGCAACCACTCAGAACACCCTAGCAACTGCCTAGCAACACCCTAGCAACCACCCAGAACACCCTAGCAACCGCCTAGCAACACCCTAGCAACCACCTAGCAACACCCTAGCAACCACCCAGAACACCCTAGCAACCACCTAGCAACACCCTAGCAACCACCCAGAATACCCTAGCAACCACATAGCAACCACCTAGCAACACCCAGAACAACTTAGCAACCAACAATAATACCCTAGCAACCGCCTAGCAACCACCCAGAACACCATAGCAACCAGCCATAACACCCTAGCAACCGGGTGGTGAGTTTTGCCACTGCAAGCACCACTTCACATTTTCCTCTGGAAATGTACATTCTAGTTAGTGGTGCTTGCAAAGCAACACTATTGTTATCCTCCATACTTATTATTAGTGGTGCTTGCCAAAGCAACACTATTGTTATCCTCCATACTTATTATTCTTATTCTTATTTTCCTGGTCACTTTTTGACGCGCTACTCCTCCCGCAGCTTTTGTCACAGACCCATGAAAGTGGTATCAAAACGTGCGGCTTGTTCGGGAATGGTGTGCTATGACTTTTCTAAGAGATCGGGTGTACGATGTTCGCACAGCGGACGAAAAAGCGGCCAAAAATGTCCTAGTTCATTTCCTATGGGGAATTTTCAAAAATTCTAATCCCAACTGTCACTTTCTCACAGACACAAAAAGGGGCCTGACAGCCCTATTTTGACAGCTATTTCAGCCATTAAAACTTTAAAATGTTGAGAAATTTGTCAGCTATTAAACTTGTATTCAACTTTTTGATATCTATTATACTTTTTTCACAATCTCTACTTTAGTCTCATGATGTTTTTCAAGCCGTTTCTGAAATTATAATGGGAGTGAATGAGAGCGACTGTTCAGAGCTAGAGCACGTGATGTCATAAGCTAGAGTGAGCCAGCTTGAAAACTAATGCTAACAAATAATTTTTAAATCGCTGGCCTGGCCACAATCTTCACTCTTTGGCCATGAAATTATACTTAAAACGTAGGTATTTTTGTTGTGCTTCCTCTCGTGTGTTTAGTAAATCCCTCGGACTTATAGTTTTTTCTCTGTGTCCTTCCAAACGACAGGAGTGACAGACATTCCTCCATTGGCAGCAATTATAAATTCAGGTCAAACTTTAGTAATCAGAGCATTACAGACCAGTTTTTTAACTTGCCAAAGTGGTCCCTTTTTTCAACTCTATCCACACAAAAAATACATCACAGCGTTCACAAAGGCCTTGTCTCGCTCACGGTCAGGTCATTTTGCTGATACAACCTATAGTTTTGTCTCTAGGGAGGTTTGTTCGAGGCCAAGTATCAGCGATTTTGACTAAACATTGGGGAATTTTCAAAAATTCAAATCCCAACTGTCACTTTCTCACAGACACAAAAGGGCCTGACAGCCCTGCTGTAGGGCAGACCTCTCTCTCTCCCTAGGAGGATTTAATTTATCAAGCAGCCAGTAAGTAATGGCCTAAAATCTTCATAGCCACACCATAGCAACCGGTTAAAGCACCCTAGCAACCGTGGGCAAAAGGCACGAGGCCGCCATAGTAAATAACTCTATAAAAACTCTATAAAAAATCATTTTAGAGACTAAATAGTAATCATCTGTTAAAAAATACACGCCGACATCACAGACTCCTGATTGAGGCGTCAAATTGTGCTGATTATTGAGGAGAGGTGTGCTTTGACTTTTCTTAGAAATCGGGGGTATGGTGTCCGCCCCAGGGGCAAATTATTGGGTTAAAAAAATCCCATAGACTTAACATTGCCACATACTTTGACGACTCGTAGCACTGACCGACGATTTCTTAGAAGCTTTTTTCTCAGAAATGTACCACATTCAAAGAGGCTGGCAGGCTCTATAAGAACATACCTCACAATAGGGTAAAAGTTGCAGCCCTGAAGCAGAAGAGCTGTACCAGTTACAGCACCCTAGCAACTAAACGACTAACTAAATGTTAAATTAGCAATATCACACTCGTAGCCATGCGCTATTGCTGCGATTCGGCCCTAACCCAAGGATGGTGATATACATTAAGAGCTCTCTAACCCCTAGTGACTACAGCATAGTTAATCACAGCCGTAATTACAGCCATAGGTATTTACAGCATTCTGATATAGGCTACAGCCATATCGCACAACTACGAGTGATATTGATATTTATACAATTAGTTTGGGAGAACATGTGAGTAAATAAATAAGAAATAACAACGTTTTAGTTTTTAGTTTTTTTTTTCTTCCTTTTTTTACATCATTACTTGAATAAAACATTAAATTATAGAGACAATATTAGATAGATGCTTTTTTAAAATTAAGTGAAATTACATTAAGGTAAATTATATAGGTATAAAAAAAACGCAACCTACAAATAATCTACGAAATAATCTATTATTATCTCTTTCTTGCAGTTTAGCCATTAAACAACAATTCTACAAATTATTAAAACACCTGGCTGTTAGTAAAACACATGAAATTAAGTTAATCCTGAAATTATATATTTTAATAATAAAAGTAATATATAATTTACCTTATTAATGTAATTTCACGTAATTTTAAAAATGCATCTATCTAATATGATAATATAATTTCTGATAAAACAGAGCGTATACTTGCGGTGTGATAATACGGAGCCATATTTGCACTAAGTGTCTTGTCTGTTTTGTAACACTCCTCGCCACGGAGCAGTGAGTGGCGTAGATAGTAGAGCGTGTAATGCATGATTAAGCTTTTTGAGGCGCTTGGACACGAGTTCGAATCCGCCTTTTGAGGAACATTAAATAGATGTAAAATGTATAACTAACATGAAGGTCTCTAGCGATATATTTTGCCAATGAACTAAAATAAAAACCATGATATGGCTTTTTGCCTTCATAAAACAGCAAAAGACTTTAAGAATAGGCATTGAATGACGGAATGAGCAGTTTCGGACACATTCGAGACAACTCGGTTTTCCCGAGTCATATTAAAGATTTGTTCACATTGAACGAATCGTTCATGATTGATTCATTACTACAAGGTTTGATTTTATTGGTTGTAAAATCAAAGCTCGCTGCTGATTGGCTGCCAGATTGAGTCTTCAAGGGAGCAGAACTGATGAACGGCCCACATTATTCTCTTCAGGTAAGTGGAGCGGTTGATTTCATATGCTTTCATATGTTTTGTAAATCTTTGTATTGTCAAATTCAGCTCTTTATTTGAATTAAAAATAGGTAATATTATTCGTATTATCATATGAGTTGTATTGTTTTAGTTTACATTTGAAGCTACCCTTTCTTTTCTGTGAAGAGGATAATGCATGAAAAGTTATGTGTACAGCGAGTCAACGTACTTCTATTATTCTAACATGAGATTTGTGTTTTGTTGGATATTGCTCTCTTTGAGTTTTGCTGTTTGTGTAGCTTATGTTAGCTTAATCACTGTGTGAGTTCATTTTGGCGCTTGTTTTAAGCTAACGATACAGCATCCTCTCTAATAATTAGCTTTTGGTGATTTAATATACGTGTGGTATACTCTCCGTTGTATTTTACATTCACACATAGATATTTGAATGAAAATTGTCGACTGATGCTATGGTCACTTCATCATGTCAAAGGCAGCGTCAAAGTTTCTGACCATCTTAACCTAATCAAAGGCGGTTAGTCACGTAAGGAAGCAGTGACAGCCGATTCCAGTGCTAACTGACAGAATTCTCTATTCATAAACAACAAAGTGCAAATGTATGCAAGAAATTCATTTCGGTCTGTAGTTGGTTTTATTTAATATAACGGGAGTTCCACGAGTGTGTTTTACTGGTAAACTCGTGAGGGAATCGAGGGAGCCGTGCTTTCGCGCCTTGCGGTCACGTGGTTGATGTTACACAAATCCGCGCTGACTATCTGTTTGATTGGGTTCAAGAAGTAGGAAAGAGACTGCAGCGTTACTATATTTGCAGTGATTCTTGTTAAATATTAACGCATGATGTGACGCCATCTAACGCATGACGTGTCGCATTCTGCTACCAGAATTTATTTTATGGTACCAAAGAGTAATTAATCAATTGACATTATCATAACATCGAAGTTTATGTTACTAAAATCATGCGTTGCGTTGAGCTGTACAGCCAATCATATGCGTTTCTGCTGAGTTTAAAAAAGCAACGTCCAATCAAAGGAGGTTAGATTAGTCTCCGGTGAAGGAGTCCGGTGAGAACTGTGCGTGGTCAGTGACAGAAATTGAATGATCTAATCATAAACCACAAAGTGCAAATATAATGTAAGAAATTCATTTTACACCGTAGACATCTTTGTTTCATGTTTTTCCTGTATTTAAATTATTTTATTTGCTTTATAAAAGCCTTATTTGATCGGTGATTGATGTATGGCTGCTGCGCATTTGACAGGGGGCGCGCACTGAGAGATAGAGTCGAGAGAGCCTCGGCCGCGCGCGCTCTTCAAACCATACACAGTAATTAGGGCCTTAAAAGAAGCTTCAAAGCGCTGCCTTGCTCTCTCTCTCCCTCGCGCAATTAATCAAAGTCAAATGACGAGATGGTAAAAGGTCGGATATTTATATAAGGTTATTTATATGACAATGTCTATATTTTTCAAGAAAATGACCAAAAATGTATAAATTAACAAAAACATCATTTAGTTTTGACTTGAGTGAGTTGAAAATGTTAAGCAATGAAAGTTCAAGTTAAATGGGTTATGAGTGTGGTGATGAGTTTTATGACACTCTTGTTGTTCTGTTTCAGAATACTGTTTTCATTCCTTGCTGCATTTTGAGGTAAAGGTTCCATTTAGGGACATGGCCAATTGGCCACACACAAAATGTTTCAGATTTGAAATTTCAGAATTATCAAAATCATAGAAGCTATTAAAAAACAATTTTGTTTTTGCAACAAATAATTAACAATCAATTCTCCAAACTATGTAAGTCCAACACAGTTTTAGGCCATAGGTCTGCTTCTTGACAATATGAGAGAATTTCAAGGGGGAAAAAAGAAGAAGAAAAAAAAACATTATTGATATACTTTCCTTAATTATATTCTACATATAGTTAAAGAATAATTAATATAGAACATGCAAAGAAGTTATGCATAGTTGACTCGAGATTACTAATTTTTCATTATTTTGTCATTGTTTTTTTTTTTTCAGACTGACTGATCAGAGCACAACCTGCATTTTCTGCTGCACTTTTCTTCTTGGTTAGTATTAATATGGTTTCTTAATCTGTACTATGACATTTTCGTTACATCACCATAATTGTAGTCCCTGTGCCCTAATATGTCTGGTTCTGTTTTGTTTCTTTGCAGGTTCCTTGTGTTTTGGCGTTTTCCACAGACAGCCGTTCATTTCATTTTTTACCCCCCCCCCCCCCCCCCCCAAAAAAGAAAAAAAAAAAAAAAAGAAAACATTTTACAAGTTTATTGTCATTCAGTGTCTCCTTCATTGTTTTTTAACTGTTTGTTTTTCTTCCTGAGAGTACTACAGGTTTTATCTTTTCAGGCTCAACAGCTGTGACACCACGACAACTTTCAAAGTATGTGCCTATCAAAGGGAGAATGTCCAGTTAAAATTATTTTGACTAGCAATTAAGTCGATTCTATTAATGTATTACTTTAACTTTTAAAAGTAGAGATTTTACTTTTCAGTATACTTTTTAGTTTTACTATTCACACAAATAAGTGAGTTAGTTAGATATATTTGACACGAATATTTTCTCTTTTTATCTCTTCATATTTTAAAGGATGCCGCGGAGAGGAAAGAGATCACAGGCTCAAAAAATTCGTTGGAGGAAGTTCGACCTGGAGGATGAACAGACCAGACCCTCCAGGATTAACCAGGTACTATCGATATCTGTTAGCCTGATTTCGTCATATTCAAGAGTGAATATGAGTCTGAAACTCCTCCGTTGGGATTTGATTATTAAGGCGTGTCATTGGCAACATGACATCATGACTTTTGCGTAAACATACACGCCACTTTCGAGTCAGGTGGCTTGTTATCTCTACGCATTTTGAGCTATCCGCCTGTATGCGTGTATGTCTACGCCATTAACGTCCGCGTCATTCCGTGTGTCTGTACACACAGTCAAATCTCCAGTCATAAATGCCATTAACCCCAGTTACAGTTAAGTTTAGGGATGGGGTTGAGGTAAGTCATATCTTTTTTTTACCTAGGATGGTAAGGGAACAGTCATAAATGCCATTAACCTCAGTGACGGTTAGGTTTAGGGACGGGGTTGAGGTAAGTCATATATTTATATAACGTTAAGTCAACGGCGTTCATAAACACGCTGAAAGGCGATTATGCGTCTTGATAGCACGCTACTTCATGAGATCAGTCTGCAATTGGATAGTCGGTAGACCTACAACCAATCAGAGCAATGCAGTAAGTCAACTCCTTTGCATAGCGCAGTTTTCAAATACAGAACGTAACCTAACTTTATTTATTTTAGAAGTTAAATACGAGTGTTGCTTCTTTTACTTTTATTTTCCATGAGTGCCACCAAAGGAGAAACTACAACGACCACAGGCTTTTCATTACGTCCCATCTTCTTAGCGACCGTCAGAGCCAGCTGATAAGTTACACTTTTCGCGAATCATGTATGAAGGACGGCAAAAAATATCTTTCCGATCGACGAATGCCTTGATTGCAGTTCTCTGTTTGTCTATTAAAATGAATGTGCTGTCGATTTATTTTACAAAAGACGCGACAGCGGATTCTATACATCTCAATTCTCCAGCTGCAGTCATCTTTGACAAGCGCTCTTTGATAATGTGATGATTACGTCCCTGCAGATCATCTGTCCATCATCGTACAAAGCCCGCCCTGGCAATTTGATTGGCCCCATCATTTTTTGCCTGATCATAATTACTCCTCAATGGATCGAGTCCAGACCGAACTTCCCGACCAAAAAATGTTGTGGGCGGAGTTCGGGCTGGCATCCAGGCTAGATATCTGTCTTGCAATATGCTCATTTTCAGGCCACCCTTATTCTTGGGACTAGGACTGTCACGATTGCACTTTATTAATCCCTTATATGGACAAAGACTATCCAGATGTAGCTGTATTAATATGAATTTGAAACATTATTAAAGACAAGTAAGCAGTCGGTAATGATATAACAAATTAATCAAATCCTTTCTAACTAATCCAACATGTACAAAAATTTAAAAAAAGTAATCAATTGTGAAAAAAACACTGCATATCCATTACTGTTAGATAAGTGTATCGTTACAGTCCTAATAAAATGCAATTTTCAAACGACAATTTTTGCATTTGTCTTTTGTGCACACTTTCTGTGTACAAATGCCCTTTTCTTTAGTTTTTTAGTTACGTTTTTTTAGAACTGTTTAGTAAAAATGCTTTTGTCCCAAACAGCGTGCAATTTAAAATTTAACAATGATTCTATAAAAATTATTTTGACCAGCAGCCTAATTTCATGAATGATTATTTACAGGTTGAACAGGCAAGCACCAGTGCAGCTGTACCTCAGTTTTCAGGTAGAACGTATTTAGAAGGTGGTGATACTGCATCCAGGGTTGTGTCTGTGCGGGCTTCTCATTGTCAGGGTGATTTTAGGTATGCCAGTTTCTCTAGAAATCACCAGTGCACGTGTGTAGCGTTGACATTTTTGGCCAACCAGAATGAAGGTATTGCGTTCAAGAGGCCTGACCTTGATAGAGTTTTAGAGGAGGGAGATGCGTTATATATCAGCACTAAATTGCAGCTTATTGCTGAAGGACAGTTTAATTTCGACCATCTGACAATGGAGGAAGTACCGTTGAGGGTTTCATCATTTAACCGGACATACAATGTGCTGAAGTCAGGGGTGATGCATGGATACCTCAGAGCCCCTGGCACTGAAGAGTGGTTGATTCCTCTCACTGAAAGGTTACAGTGCCTCTCCACAGATGTCAGCTATGCTCTCCTCATTGTATCTCCAGAGTGTATTGCTGTGTTTAGAGACAGATCTGGAAGGTATGGATACTTTGATTCTCACTCGAGGACTGCTGCAGGCTTGCCCCATCCTAATGGAACTGCTGTCATGTTGACTTTCACCCACCTGGGTCACATGGCAGACAGAATGCTCAAGATCTTCTGGGATCGTGGTGCTGAGACCAGCTATGAATTCATGCCTGTATCATTTGAAGCAGAGCAACAGTCTGGCCAACTGCCTTCACCATCTGTTTGCGAACAGACGTCACAAGGGATTTCAGCTCCAGAACCAGCTGAACTTGTTTGCACAGGAACTCAAAACCAAGATGTGGTAGTTAAAACAAACAAGCACAGGAGAAGAAAAGAATTGCGTAAAACATTTAAAATGGCAGAACAATGCAGAGAGCTTATAACCCCGGCTCTGCCTTATGCCACCAGGAAACATAAGAAACGGGATTGTGAGAGACGGAGGTATGCTACTTCTTCGCAGTACCAATCAAAGAGAAAAGCAGCAAAAAAGGTGAAGTATAATAGAGATGATGACTTCCGAAACAAAATGAAACGGAATATAGTGAGAAGATATAGCATGGATGCTGTCTTCCGGAGGAAGATGAAAGAGTGTTCGAAGAAGAGATACAGCACAGATTATATTTTCCAGAGAAAGAAGAAAGAATATATTAGAAAGAGGTACAGCACCGATTCTCTCTTCCGGAAGAAGATGAAAGAGTTTTCGAAGAAGAGATACAGCACAGATTATCTTTTCCAGAGAAAGAAGAGAGAATGTGTTAGAAAGAGGTACAGCACCGATTCTCTCTTTCAGAGCAAGATGAAAGCCTATATGGCGAGGAGATATGCAGGTGACCCAGAGTTCAGAGCACATCACATCCTGCGATGTACCTTGCACAAGACCAAGAGATGTGCCAGTGATACTACATATCACATTCTTCATCGATTGCAATGCGCACTGCGGATCAAAAATAAATATAAATCTTACATCCGTTCCAGCCAGGAAAGACCCCAGCCTTTGGTTAGCAAAGAGATGGAAAGTGCCATACATGCATTCCGGTGTAAGATTCAGCGAGGCCCTACACATGTCTGCACGGTCTGTCATAGAGCCCTGTTTCCTGATCAAGTCAGGGTGTGTCATAGAGCGAGATATGACAAAAACGCTCATGTTGCAGCGGCTTGCCTAACAGGCAAGTATGTTCACACGTGTGATAGTGCCTGCTCAGGTTCCTGTGTAGTTCCGGAAGAGAGAAAACAGGAGTGGATTTGCCCCACTTGTGACAGCCACCTCAAGAGAGGACAGATGTCTTCAATTGCAGCAGCCAACAAAATGGAGTTGCCACCAATCCCTGCGGAATTGGATGACTTAAATGTCCTTGAACGTCAACTCATTGCAAAAATTTTACCATTTGCAAAAATAGTTACGCTACCCAAAGGACAGCAGAGAGCAGTACGTGGTGCCGTTGTGTGTGTGCCCTCCGAGATGGAAAACACTGTCAACTCTCTTCCGAGACCCAGAAGTGAGGCCCAGCTGCTGCAGGTGAAGCTGAAGAGACGCGTGAACTTTAAAGGATATCAGCAGTTCAACACGGTGAATATGCACAACGTGCTTTCAGCTTTATCGAAGCTGAAAGCAGTGCATTCGGAATACAGGGATATCTCCATAAGAGATAGTGCTGTATTTGAAAGTCCCCTAGACGAGAACTCTGATGTCTCTGAAAGTCACCTAGACGAGGAAGCTAATGTCCCTGAGATCCAAATGGTAGCTGATGCTGCCGAGCAGGATGAGATGCAAACGGAAGCTGATGCTGCCGAGCAGGATGAGCAACACGTTAGCGTCGAGGAAAAGGATGAGCTTCGACCCGGCCTCACATTAGACACGTGCATGCAACCGCCTGACATCGGACAAGAGATCTTGTCGTACGGTGAGGGAATATTTAGTATCGCACCTGCACAAGGACATAAGCCTGTTGGATTTTTCAAAATCCCAAAGCTGGAAGCCATGGCGTTCCCTGTTCAGTTCCCCACTGGACAGAATTCCATTGATGAGGAAAGACAAATTTCAATATCTCCCAGTATGTATTTCAACGCCAGATTGTTCAGCGTGGACACGCGTTTTGCGAAAGATCAGAGTTATCTTTTCTTTGCACAGTTTGTCACGGAAACGCATCTGGCTAGAAACAGCATGTCTATCCAGTTACGAAAAGGCAAACCCGTCACAAGAGACGGCCGGGAGAATTTCGAACAGCATGCTTCAAGACAACCGGGAGATTGAAAGATTGGTACATAACAGAGATGCCACACGGTTCATGCAACCACTGAGAGGCTCTCCGTCGTATTGGGAGAAAACGTTGAGAGATCTACAGGCTATGATAAGACAGTTAGGACCCCTACATTTTT